CTCCAAGTCTTCATATTCAGAATGTTTTCATTCTCTAGATTGTTGTCTTATCATATACCTGTGCAGACTATTCAGTAAATGCCTTTTTCTTGATATATTCGGAGTTTATTTTCTTTTTGCAGTAACTTTTTACAGTTCCTACAATGGAAGTTATATTTCAGATCTGCAGTTTCCATCATGAAATACTCAACTCTCTGGATCTGTAAGTTAGTTATTTAGCATAGGCAACAATTCATTTAACTGAAAAGAAAATGAACTAAAACTGAAGTTGATACACAATATTTGGAAAGGCAGTGTTCCTGAAGTTTAAAAGTTTTTTCAGTCTAGGGTTTTACTTTTGGTTCATCTACAGCAATAACTTTTTCTGTCTGAAATGACAGTGCTGATGATGTTAAACTCGCAGTTATACAGACTTGCTGCATTTAATTATTTCATTTAAGATCTTTAAAAGATACATAACTATTTGGAGAAGAAAAAGGAATGTTCATACTTTTTTCTTCATGTAGAACATTGCTAGGAGGTTGTGTTTCACAGTAACTAATACTTTGAATGTAGTCATGAGTGAAACGTTAACTCACTGCAAAGCAGTAGTTAGTAACCTAATCATGTCATACTGTCAATACACTGCCGTTTACATTGTTCCATTTCAACAATATGTGTGACAAACTGCAGATAAAGTTGAATTGAAACTGCTGCTATAATATCTTTTCCTTTTTCTGTTGTTTTCCCTTTCATGGTTAAATCTAACATTCACACAAAAACTATATTATGTTGCCCTTGAGACTATTGGTCAAACCTAGGTCTGAGGTAATACAGTATTAAAATGTTAGCTAGTTCAGTTTTAAATTAGCTACTTTTCAAAAAGGCTGAGAGAAGTTGCTTGCACTTGTTCTTATACCATTTTGTGAAGTCAGAGAATATAACAGAGATGGGCTTTTGTTTCTTTATTGAGACTTTATTGCAACTTTATTGAGATTGTTTCTTTACTGAGACTTCATAGAAGGCAAATACCAGAAGTCCATTTTATTTGGTTGCTTAAATTTTACTAACAAAATAGCTTATTTTTTTTTTTATTTCCTATAGGAATATAGGAAAAATATAGCTTGTGGATCTTCAGAAGTATAATTTTAAATTAATAACATAAAAATCCATAACTTCTTTTCTGAAATGGTAAACTACAGAGTGTTAGCCAGTCACAAAGGTGAATGACTTGACTAAGTCAAGTGAAACTGATAACCCGCAATGACTTGGAAGGAGGTCGTCATACTGTTCAAGTCTTGTGAAGGGAGTAAGGACTCAGGTAGGGTGTTCTGGCATGCAAAGAAACTGTGAATCAGACACTGAAATGTATTATGGACTGTGGAACTTGTCAACCTGGAACACTGAGGCCATCTCCTCATCCATCTGAGTACTCTAGTGACAGTGAGGACTAATGTGTTAAGGACTTGAAATCAGAAGATTGGCTATGGTTTCTGTGTCAGTGCTTGGCCATTAGTTTACTGAAGTTTGATATCAAAGCTGTTTAAAATTATATTCTGATGCATTGGGGGGTAGAGCCTGCTTTTCATTTTTTTTAAATGGTTTCTTAGTTATTGATTATAATTTGTTTTTAATGAAAAAATGTAGTTTAGCATTACAAGCAATTTTGTTCACTTGGGAAAATGAATTTCTTCCCTAGAGTTAAGTCAGTAGAATTTCCATACATAACTAGGCATTTTAATTTAGGAATTTCTGTGGAAGTAGCTTCAAATAAGCAGTTGTTGCAGCAAAAGTGGAACTGGTGAAGATTGCTTTCATGTCTCCTGAATCTTAATAACATGGTACCTTCAGCTTTTCTCTGTAACTTTCTTGTCATAATACCTTCAGTACCATAGCCCACACCTTTCATGCTAAGACCTCACCCCAGTTTCTCTCCTGCTCTTCTGCATAGTAGATGTCTCCACTATAAACACTTGCAGAGCCTTCCTGCATTCACAGTTTGCTACTGCAATACCCCATTTTCCTCGCTTATGCCTTAAATTTCCCTTTTTTCTCTGCGCTCCATTCCCCATCTACTCTGTGTCAAAACAAAGCACAGGCTGTTGCCACTCTGGAGCCACACAAGAAGTGGTATGCTGGCCAGCACATATGCTGCATGGCCATCAGGCTGCCAGCAAAGTGGAAGGATTCAACCAGTCAGTCGTTCCTCTGTTTTGCAGTATACTGGGACTCAGTCAGACAAGATTTTGTATGGGATGGCTTTGGAGTTCATCAAGGCAGTATGGCATATGTGCGTTCTTGGTTTCACTTCAAAAGGAAATCTGTATTTTGACAAAGGTTGTGTAAGCTCTGTGCATTGATTTTTTTTTTTTAATTATTATTATTTTTTCCCCTCCAGTTTTAAATAGTTATCAAAAGCTAGCAGAAGTGTCTCATGCCTTTACTGTGAAAAGTAGAATACAGGATGTTGTTGTTCCCATTACACTTGATAGAAGTAGTTGGCAGCGCTTTGCATTGGATTTGTTTATAGCTAGAAACATCAGGAAGTTCTTCACTGAAATAATGCTTTTATGCAATGTCTGAAGGATGACATTAAGAGTTAGCACTGGCTAAGTGTTTTCTGTATGTTCGGTATGCTCTGTGTTTCAGTCTCACCCAGACAGGAAAGGACTGATTTGCTTTGCTTCCAACAACCATTGAGATTGATGAATAATGGGAACAAGCTGGCTGAAATTATTTATCATAAAAATGAAAACATTATGTTATAAGGGAAACAGCTGAAGGACTTGGCATTGGTTAGGTAAGGAGCTCTTCACTGTGAACATTCAGTTGCTATGAGTTAGCTGAGTTCTTGTTTTGGAAGCAAGTTTGAGTTCTTAAGTGTTTAGTCTGTTAAAATTAGACAGTAAACATCGTTACTATGTTTATTATTCTTTTGGATCTGACAAAAGTTTGCTTGCCTTTCAGAAATACACTTTTGCAATTTCAGTGCATTTTTTAGTCTCCTCTGAACTGTTGCCATGTACCTCGTGGAAGATGTTAGTTTGCATTAAACAAATGATTCCACCTTGAGTGTGCAATTCTGGTGCCTGCATATGTGAAATTTAAAGGTTGGGGTTTTTTCTCCTTTGACACATGGCAAATCACAAAAGCATGTCATGGCTGATTTGAGTTCCCGGTTTCTCAAGTTCTGATAGTCTCAGATGTGATATAAGGGTGAGAAGTCCTTGAGCACCTCTGATTTATGACACTTGACTATAGTCCCTGACAGTATGGCCCTTATGAGTAGCGATGCCATACTACAGAGTTTTTCCATAGTCATCCCAGCACCTTCGTTGAAACACTGATGTGACATAGCTGTTGTAGAAAGCAGTTCTATTATCTTGATGTCATCCTTCAGAGCTACAGTAAAGCTAATAAATAGGAGTATAAAGAAACACCAAGAGAGTGAAAGGCATTTCTAGCGTTCTTCTGATTTCCCCTCGTTTTAAAATGTTCTGTTCTGTCTTCCAAACCTTAGCAATAGGGAATATGAATTTTCTATGAGAGCTACTGTGAAGGTTTTCAAAAGTGTGTATTTAATATTCTTCTTTTCTGTTTGCATTATTTCTTCTTACTGTGTTTCCTGATTGGTTGCCTTTGCTTTTCTTTTTGCTTTGTGGTGGTTGTGACTTACTTTATAACCCATTTTACAATATCAAGTGAGACTTGAAATATTCAAAACTTGGTAGGAATAGCACCACAATGCTGGTTTGAGGAAAAGCAGTAAAGATTATGACCTTAAAAAAATTATAACCCATCAACATTGAGACATGTTACTAGCTTTTGTTAGATGAATACAAGACTAACGAGCTCTTTAACTGAAGAGGCTCTTTCATTAATTCCAGAAGGTAATGAGTCAAAGTCTCAAAATGACAAACTGATAACGCTTATCAGTGATGTATATTTCTGAACAAAACCAAAACAATCCCTAATGTTGATATTTAAATTATGTTAATGGGGCTTCAAAAATAACATTTTTCTGAAGTGATGTATGTGAAATGAAGTAGAGAATATACATCTCACGTATACTTTTCAGTTTCTTGAAATTTCTTTTAAATTGTTTGTCTTCATACACTGTTGTGTAAATTATTATGAAGATTATCTTTACATTAATGCTGACATTTGTATCTTAATTTCTTTTTTAATGACATTTCCATTCCACAGTAACCAAGATGGTGACAGCAATACGATCAAACCTAGTGTTTCTATCCTTGTGTCACTTAGAATCCTGTCTGAATTTAATTGAAATCTTTATGACTAATGTCACCTGAAATCCAACCCTTGAAAAATATGTTGCATGTACTGCAATTGCGCATCAAGTGAGAATTCGCTGTCGTAAATTTTTGACAAGTCTTTCATACTATGATTCAAGTATTCTGCATGTGTGGATTGACAGGGATGGTTTGAAGTTTTATGCTAGTATGTGCATAGCATGTCCCATTTTTTGTGTTATTTTACAATCTTGTGTAAATTATGATGGAAAAAGTTACTATTAATGTAAGTTGATAATTTCAATAATTTCGTTAAGACAGTAACAGCATTCTTAATGATTTTTATGGTAACTGTCATACTTCTTAATTTGAACGCTCAAGTCAAGTAATGAAAACCTAGCACCATAGTTCCTGTCATCTCTACATACATAATGAATGGATATAGCAAAGATTGAGAACAAACCCTGTGTGGTAGTAGTACGTGATCTGTGAATAAGGTTTCATAACTTTCAGTTATAAATTAGGCATAATTCATTTTTTTCCACTTAAAAATGTGTGAAAACCTATCACCTGAAGAGGGGAAAAAAATAAATTTATAAATGCCAAATTTCTGTTTTAAAATTTAAAAAAATACTTTCTGTATTATTTGAGTAATTTTCCTTAAAATTTATCTGAGAATTAACCTCAAAAGCTTTTTCCTAGCTTAGGTTTTGAACATATATAATTGATTGTGAACATCTTAATTTTTAAAACTTGAAAATTTTACAGATAAAAAGCTTTGGTGGGCAGACCAGAACTTAGCTCAGATTGGTACCTGTAACAAAAAAGATGGAAGAAACCCAGCTGTCCTGCGAAACAAAACTTCAGGTGTTGTACACATGAAAGTATATGATAAAGCAGCACAGCAAGGTATGTTAAATTTTAAGCACGTTTAAGCAATTTTTGAACTGCATAGTATCTTTTCCCATGTTATTCTCCAAATGTGGCTATAACAAAATACTATGTATTTCATTGTAATTCAGTGATAAAATACTGTAAGATATTTTATTATTGAATAAATTTTTGAATGCAATAGGATAATTGATTTATCATATCTGCCTGATACATTTTAATTTATCAGATGTTTTATGAAGTTTACACTATAGTAAAGTTCAAAGTTCTTTTATAGAATCTAAATTTAAAATTTTTAGTAAAAAAAAAACACTGTGTGAACTTAATCTCAAATTACTGAAATTTTATAAAATACTGTAAGATATTTTATTATTGAATAAATTTTTGAATGCAATAGGATAATTGATTTATCATATCTGCCTGATACATTTTAATTTATCAGATGTTTTATGAAGTTTACACTATAGTAAAGTTCAAAGTTCTTTTATAGAATGTAAATTTAAAATTTTTAGTAAAAAAAAAACCACTGTGTGAACTTAATCTCAAATTATTGAAATTTTATGTGCAGTATTGTGAGAGAATTAATTAATATTCTTCATTATCTATTTGTCTTAAAGCAGTTTAAGTCATCTAAATTGTCAGAAATTACAGCAGTATAAATCAAAAGTGAGACAGCAGAAAAATGGGGGAGTATTGCTGATACTGCCAAAACTTAGTTGGCAAAGTAGGAGCTAAGGTAATACTAAAACTGTAATTCGGGGTCATACCCTCAGTTGTGTGAATTTGGAGATCAGAGATGAAAACATTTGGGGGATTCTCTAGAAAGAGTATTTCTGATTCCAGCTACTGGAAGTGACAAGGATGGGATCTACATGAAACGAATTATTTTGTTTTGTGGAGAAGCTTCCATAGGAACGCAGGATAGTTTACTACAATAGGTAGTCTATGTACAGAGTACATGAATTCAGTTCCATATTGAGCACTTCTGAGAACACTTGCGATTTCACCTAATCTAGGAAGTGCCAAAAAGGTGCTTCACCAGCCTTTTTTGGTTTTAAATGTGGTGGAACAGTAAGTAATTAAGCATTCAGTAATGTTTCTACCATTTTAAAGTGCTTGAACTCCCTACCATGGAGACATACGGAAAGCCTCATGAGTGCCCAAATGTTAGCGATATCAGGTGTCTGTGGCATTAATATGCATCTTCCACTGTACTAAAGAAAAAGAACAGTTCTGTCTTTTTGTACTACTGAACTTTAACTGTAATGAGAGCCCTTAATTTGTGTAGTGGAATGTCACCTTGCTGATCTATATTTTAAGGGAGAGCAAAGTCAGGGTTTTGGATATAACAATCAAACACTGTAGATGGGATTCAACTTTACACTTACACTTTTGTTTTTTGAGAATCGTTGAATATTTCGTATGTGTCTTGCATTTCATTAAATCAAAGTGACATGAGAGCAAATGTGCTGTGAGGGCCCATACAGATTTCTCTGTATACAAATCTGACATCCTAGATTTTCTTCTTTACTGTACAATTTGTCTCTTTGAGGATACCTGAGACTTTGAAACCTCACCTGTCTTTTCCATTTGTATGGTTGGATTGTTAGAAAACATCTATGATTTTAGATGAAGAAATGCTTTTTACTTCAAAATTAGTAATGGAAAAATAGATGTGACAAGTAGCTCTCTGATTCATATGGGCTTGTTAACTTGTAATCAACTAATTCCTTGAATGTCTTAGTAGACTTAAATGTTTCTTCGTGAAGTTTCAAATTTCTGAGATGTGTTTATTCTACTGCATATAATGTTTATTACAAATCTTATTAAAAAGTGTTCATCTATTACTTAAAAGTAAATATTGTTCTAATTAAGAAGTAGGAGCCTGGATCTGTGAGATCACATTGGAGTGCATCTTCAATATACTAAACGAATGCTGGTTCATTAAGATGATGAGGTTAATATAACATTTGATGAATGACTACAATATGATCAATGATTTGGTCATGGTCTAGAATAAGATAAACCTTCCAGACTAATGTTAGTGAGATTACATCATTGCTACTCCAAACTAAACGTGGTATTTTCAGTTTCATCATATGCTTTTACTTTAAAATAGGCAGATTGTTCTGCAGAAAACCGAGCTATTTAAAAAAAAAAATATTGTGAGGAAAAAACCCACTATTCTAAGTGTTCAGATAAAATAATATAAGAGTGAAGCATGAAATAGTATATGAATAGTAGTATAGCTTGAAATATTTTATGCACATCTCAATTTTTCAAAGAAGCTAGCTGAACAAAGTTTGGTTTTGGCATTATCAATAAATTGATGCCAACAGTCATTTTTAGTCAGGATTGCATTGTTCAAATTTTGTTTCCTCTTGTCTCCTCTCCCATCATGTTATAGGTAGCAATTCCTGTCAGTTAAACAATGGTGGATGCTCCCAGCTTTGCTTACCAACTTCAGAAACCACCAGGACTTGTGTGTGTACAGTAGGCTACAATCTTCAAAAAAACCGTATGGCATGCAAAGGTAAAATGGCTTTCAATATTTAGTATTTGTTTTAACTAACTTCAGTTTTATGGGAATGCTGTAATGAGTAAATAAACTTTATTAATTTTAAGTTAAATAACTATACTTAATATGCTTGATTAAAGCAGTAATACAGAAATGTCTATTGTGGTTAGGGCAGAATTTAAATTTAGCTTTTAATTTCTTTAGTTAGTTCTGCATAGATTTTTGTGGAAATTCTGAGGAATATTTTTTTCTTTTTCTTTTTGTAACGTAGGCAGAAAAGCAGACCATCTTGAGCCATCATTAATAGTAGTACATATTTGTTCAAGGCCATATGCCTTATCTTTAAACTAAATTATATCCTACAGTATCTGAAAAGTTGGATGTCTCAGTCTATTATATTGCCCTTAATAAAAGTAAGGTCTGATTTTTATTTAAAAAAAAAAAAAAAAATCTGTTGTCTATTTGAGCAGGAAAAAAACCAAACTCAGCTTACATCCAAAAGTTTTGCTTTTGCCTGAATAATACAAAACATCCTTGTCGTCAAGGTGCCTCATAGTTGTATAAAGTTAGTATTATTGATATATGTATTTGTATGAGGCATTGCTACCTCATCTAGTTAATAATAGCGTAAACATAGAAGCAGAATTAAGCAACAGAAATATGGCTTTTCTGCTTCTTCAGTGTTTTTCATATGTGACAATAACATGTTCTTAACATTGTTTTAGTTCTTTTTAAAGTAGTCTTTTTCACTTTTACAATTACCTTAACCCACAACTGTAGGCTATAAATATCTGTAAATAAAACTGGTGGATGCTGTGTGCTTGAAAGGTATTCTTCCTTTATGTCTATAAATACTGCTTTCTAGATCATAACAGCTTTTTATGGTTAAATTTTCCTTCAATTAAAAAGAGGTCATGAGTCAAAAACATTTTTATTCTGACTTGAAAATTCATGGAGAAAAACTGACAAGTACTATTCTGTACATATATACTTATTTAGCATTGCTCTTTTCATTTGCTAGCTAGATGTTGTCTTGCTTTGAAAATTTTTTTAAATTCTCTACCTGAATCTAGCTAGCTCTTTACAAAGAAAGAAATTTTCAAAAAAATGGTGTGAAGAAAAAGGAACCTTTTTCTGTATCGTAGTTCTTCAATAACATGAGTTATGTATTGTTACGCTGTGTAACAATTAAGCTGCCCTTAAACTCAGAATTGTTCTGATATGTGAACAGATTAGGGCAACAAAGTATTTGTTCTAATGTTGGTTATCAACAGTTAGGTGTGAGTCATCTCAACTGGGAATGACTGCATAATAGGACCTCTACACAATAGAATTTCTTCCTACTTGGTAGAAATAGGTGCATCTGGAGTATGGTTATTCTAACATGAAAGAAGACAAAATGCATCCATTAACACTATCTATTTCTCCCTGTTGTCTGTAAAGGAAGTGTACGTAACTAAATGAGGTGAGATGAATCCCATGCCACAAAAGACAATTTACAGTCTTGAGTCCTGCTGTCCACATGTTCTTTAAAATTGTTTCTTGCTGAATATGTACAGAAAGTGCAGATGCGCAGTGAGAATATTCTTAAATTTCTCATGATTAAAACACATTTTCTTCTTAAGTTTTCATTTTCGTTACTGCTAATTACTTAAGTATGAGGTGATGCTTGAAAGGGACAGTGATTCCCTTCTCTTTATAAGACTACATATATTATTTAACTAGAAATACACCATAATAAGTCATGAATGTTTTTTCAAAGAGCTGGAGTTACCATTCTGGAAAACTATGGAGCATTATTGGAAAACTATGTCTAGTGCTTGTTAATTCCTCAAGTCTTGTTAATTGGGAAAGTCTCCACTTTGGTCTCATTGGCTATTTTATTTTTCCCATAGGTATTGAATCATTTCTTATGTATTCTGTTCATGAAGGAATTAGAGGAATTCCACTTGATCCAAATGATAAAATGGATGCTTTAATGCCTATATCTGGAACTTCATTTGCTGTGGGCATAGACTTCCATGCAGGTAAATATTACATATAGTTTATTGTATGTACGGTAAATATTGTATACGATTGTTATAAATGAAATAACCCCCCAGTTTTCAAACCTTCCAAGTAATTACAACTATATTTAAAGGAATTGGAAGTTGATTGTGTCTTAGTGTTAACCTGTAGCTATTTATTATTTACGGTAAATAGGAAAACATGTATTATGTATATGTAGATTGCATTAACAGTGCTAGCTGCTATTTTTTAGTGGAGACGTCACTGAGAGCTTGAATGGGAAACTGGTGGTTTTACAGAAAGTGGTCATAAATCTGTAGCAAAGCAGTTTTCATTAGTTCCTTTATCATAGAAAAAAGCTTGTTCCTGTCATGACTTTTTTTCCACTGAATTTTTGTAGTCCTATGTATTGTACTTAGCAGGTACAATAATCAGCTGTGTTTTGACAGCTGGGTGGGATAGTTTTCTTTCTGTCCAGTAAAGTTTGTTCACTTCACTGCAGCGTACAAGCCAATGCCATATCTGTTTCTTCCATTTAGAAGATGATGCTCTAACAGCCTGCAGAACAAGCATTTCTATCTTAAGTACACTGCACACCTTTCCACTGAAGTGTATAAATAAAACACAGTTTTCAGTTTAGATAGCCTTACAAATTTCCTAGGAAATTAGGAGGTTTCTGTTTTGAAAATATGTGAAAGAAGGTGGAAAGAAATTAAGGATTAGATCCTGAAAAGTACTTGAGTACATCTCCCGCTGGTACTGAAAGGTGTCTGAATGTCTTCAAAGGCTTTAGGAATTCATGGTTAGTTTGTAGACAATACGAAATCTGTGACCAAGTAGTGACCTGAAAACATCTTGTATCTCCATATTTTTGACCCATTAGCTCTCTGACCAGCCTTCTTTACAAACTGATTTTCTCATGAGCTGTTTTTGTTACCCATTGAGTTTACAAACTATCAGTTTAGAAATAAAATTTTAAGTTACCTATGTTGTATACATATGGACATGGGCTTCCTGAAATGTACAATTATTTTGTCATACTCCATTGTCTTCCATTTTAAAATAAGTTCTGCCTGGGAATTCAGCATTGAGAGATCCTATGGTTTTGCTTAAGTATATGTTAATATGTACCTTCATACTAAAACCAGACCTTTTTCTGCTTGTTTTGTTTGGCTACATCATCACAGAAGCATCACTAATATTTTGTTAACAGGTTAGGAGTGAAACGCATTAAAGTCTTCTCTCCTTTTGGCCTACCTTCTTCACTGATGCTCTTGTACCTCTACACTGCCTAGTAAAATTCCAAGTTCACTCAGCATTTTACACATGCCCTCATGTGTATATTTTGCTTTCAGGTCAGTGACAGCTAATGTTCAGAGCTTTTGTTACATCATAGGTATAGCTCATTCACCGTCTACTGAGACATAAAAATCACTTAAAAGACAATGCCTTTATACACATATCTTAGATGGGAAAGACTGTGATATAGCTGATTTTATCTATTCCTGGAGAGATGCAGGATGACAGAGAAGTGGTAGGTCGGCATGTTCATGACAGACAGTACTAAGACAATGCAATTGAGTTTCCCAGGGATTATATTTGTTATTATACTACACTTAACCTTAAAAAATACCATTTTTTATTTCATCTTGTCAAGCTTTACAAAATTATGATGTATACTACAGAAATTTGAAATTTGACCTTCTTGTTCTAAAATACTGATACTAGGATTTTATTGGGGATTTTGCATCTTGTGTTTTCTTTGGCTTGGGGATTTTTTTTTTTAGCATAGTCTACTTATAGGATGTGCTAGCTCCTACTTTAGAGAGCTTTGTTTGGACTTCAGCAGTCATTATCAAATTAATGTTTTGGAAGAATAATACGCATGTACTAGTTTTTAGCTTTGAAATTTGAGGAAGGATGAAATTGAGGTTCGCCAACTTCTGTGATGAACAGTTACAGCACAGGGAACATGAATACGACTGACAGTGACAAATGCATTGCTAAACATGAATGTAAATCTTCTGTTGCAGTGAAATCTCAAGGGCATATTGTCTTATAAAAAGTTACCGTACAGCTTTCAACTGCATTTTAGATTAAAAAGCAATTGTTTTTCTCATTTTGATGCCTTACCTTGAATTTTCTGAATGCATTCCTGAAACCTTTGTTCATCAAATATGATTCAGAAGGCAAGTGGAGGTACTTTCAGATTTCATCTTGGGTTTTTTTGGTTTTTTTTTTCCACTTAGTGACTTATTCTTATTTCTTAATGGTGAAATACTCCCAAATTCTGATCTACTCTCACTAATTGTTTAGGTATGCAAAGTGGCTAAAATACATTAACGTATGCTAGGAGTATAGTGTATTATAGTTAAAAGAAGGCAATATTTTTGCAGAGATGAAAGAGCTATACAAGATAAATGCATCTTTTTTCTCCCTATGCCTTGATACTTCTAAATTCTCATTAAAGAACTACAAGAGTAGTTTACTTTTTTTAAAAGTTGTTGGGGAGTGGTGTTGCCAGTGTTATTTAAGACATAGGTTTATAAAACTGAGTGTGATCCTTGTAGCCTTTCATTTCTGTATTGTTAAAGATAACGGCATCGGTTCTTCCCTGCAGCTGAAGACTTCTTCACAGTATGTCAGGCAAATGCCTGTTGTTTTTCCTCTCGACATTGTTCCCGGAAGGTCACCATACTTTTTTACCTTAGTATCTGGTTTGCATTTGTTGAAATCATTATTTCACGTGGTGGAATGTATTTAAGCTTGGTCTGGTTTGAGGAGAGTCTGCATGGCAGAGAAATACCACTGCATCTGAGACATCTAGGGCATTCTAAGAATTGAAAAAATTAGAGCATCATGTTTATTTGCAGAACGATGGTCTTCAAACTGAGGGGTAGAACACTGTCTCCAAGCAAATGATCATGTTCATGAGGACGCTATCTTCTACTTCTAGAGGGCACAAACTACTTAATGAATAGTAGTATTTCTGTCTTTTTAAAGTATGACAATGCAGAGTGGTGTTATGAATCTTTTCATTACCGCCGAAAAGCCTCCATAGAGGTGTACTACTAGTTAAAATTGTTGATAGTTTTGAAATAATGCAGTGTCATTGCTGAGCCCCTTTCAGTTCTGCAGTAGTTTGTCTCACAAAGCTTAAGATTTGCAAGATTTTGCCTCTGTGGAAAGCAGAGTCTTCCCAGTCCCTCACTGAGTTTTGCTGAACTTGGTGGGACCTGGGAACTCAGAGGTCTGCTGTCACATAGTTTTCCACACTTTTGTCTGCATTTTCTGCCCCGCTCTTATTCACGCTATCATGGTGCCTCCAAACAAAATAATCTGTAGTGTACATACAGGTGTGTATAGGTGGGAGGAGAATAGATTTTACTTTCTTTGTTGAAATAAGCATTTTGAACACTTACAGACTAAGCTGATAAGGCCTGACAACAGGGATAAAATTCAGCAAATACTTTGTATGTTGAATTTTGAGTTACAGGATTTTATTGGCAAAATACTAATGCATTAAATGGAATTAATTTTCAGTGTTTGCTGATAAGCTGCCTGTGGGCTGTAGGAGTCAATGTGAGGCCATGGTTACTAATGCTCACCACTTAGCAAAATGCTTGTAGAAGCCATGTAAGTTGCAGACAGTTGTTTCCCATTTTGAGGTGGCTTCATTTCCAGGTAGGAATTCCCTTTTCTTCAGATTCCAGCAATAGGATAGATAAGAAGATAGTGAAGGCTCCAAATCTGTCTGAAGCCAGAATTGGCTTCAGGAACCAGATGCTGAAGAGAGTTTTTTATCCCCATGTCTGTTAGAAAATAAACCAGGTTTGTGCAATTATAATATTAATTGTGCTACCTGACAGAGACGGCACTGACACACAGATCTGTGAAAGCATCATCCATTTTTATAAGTGAACAGACTACACCAAAATAAAGGCCAATGGCCTAATCTGGATTCCTATTAGCATGTTCTGCATGGCATGGGTCTTCACTAGTTGAGTCCTACTGAGAATGTTACTCCATGTTTTATTGAGATATGGAGAACTTTGATTATTAACAGAAAGGAATCCATAAAAATTGCGATCTCCATAAAATTAGAGGATTTTGTCTTTCGGATCATACCATCTGTATCCAAGTGCAAACGGAAACTCAGCAAATGCTGTACTATTATCTATATTTGAAAGCCACAGGGAACTTTGTTAGTTTAGTGACAGCTGATTCCTTGTATGTTTTTACACTGTACAGCAAAAGAGTATAGTTTTTTCTTAAGCTGTCATGAAGTACCTGAAAAATCAAAAAATATTCTCCAATGTACTGTATAGAACATAGTGACTGAAAAGTTTTGCATTGCTGTAAATAAATAACCTTTATCAGTACTTCAGGAAAAAAAAAAAAAAACAGGTGGAGTTTCTTTTCTTCTTTTTGCCTTGGAGCATCTTTGAACAATTATATTAAAATGTCATAGTCAATGCATTTTACAACTATGCTTAATGAAGATTTAATTCAGGATACAAAACATAGGCAAGTCAGATGTAGGACTGTAAAAGAATATGAGAATTTTAAGGAAATTATGTGATAGCTCCGGTTTATTATCAGTGTATGGTTGGGTAATTACTATCTTCGCATACTCAAGCAGTTAGCATTCACTTTCAAGGATACTTTCTAGAAGCATTGAACTGCATGTGCTTTGTGAACTTCCTCCAACACAGCAAATATTACTTGCGTTTCGCTCATTAGTTCCCATCACAAAATTACTCACCTAACTTCTGTTTGTAGAACAGATACATTCTGCTTAAAAATTCTGGTCATTTTACAGGAACATTATCAACTAAATAAAAATCCATGTTGACTGATGTTAAAATAGTATTCCCTATAATATCTATCTTGAAAATGTCTTTTCCTTTATCATTGGGAAGTATTTTTATATCTCTGAAGTTATATCTACACACCTCCATGGTTTTGTATGTCTTCACTGTCATTTTTTTGTACATGTATATAGCCATTAGTTGCTTTCTACCTGTTTAAATTCAGGTCAGGTATATTGGTTCTTAAGGAAAAATGTTGATCATTAGCAAAAGAAAGCTGTGTCTAAACCCCTATTTTAAGAAAGCAGCACTACAAAGTCAGTTGTGCTATATACATTAAGATTTAGTCATGGAAGCGAAACCACTTCTAACAGTTTCTAAGCTGTTATGAGGATTCTTGCTCACGTGGCTGACTTAAATAGTCATAGGATGAATACAAAGTGGTTTCTTGTTATAGACATGAATTAAACTGGAATGTGAAATACATAAAATTCATTTGTAGAACGTTTTATCCAGCTGGTAAACATAATAGATTTTTTTTTTTTTTTTATTAACTACGTACTTTCAGATAAGACTTTGTAGTAATTATGTATACCTCATATTCCACTGAAATGTATTTGGCATACGCTTGCACACAATCGTAGATCAATATCTTATTGTTGAATGTATGTGCAGCTAGTATTAAGATCTGTGTAATTTTTGTACTCATTTGAAATAAGTAGCATAATACATGGCTCCTGTATGTGATAATCAAACTGTATGTTTGGGATACTTGAAGTCAGAATTTCTCATTTGTTTCATTGGTGGTGTGGCTAGGGCTCTGGAGCATACCAAACTGGTTTGGTCTTGGAATTGACTGTTACCTGTGTAAGTTTTGTATATACACATATGTTTGTGTATATATGTGTGTATATATATGTGGAGATATATATATATTTTATATTCTGTCTTATGGACACCCAACTGCAGCAGAACGGCAGCAAAGGCAGCTGAAATGCCTTAAAACACCAAAAAAGACTGTTAGTGGAAGCTTCTCAAGACATTTAAAATAAAGGATGAATTGTGGATAGAGTCAATTTTTTATTGTTTTATCAGTATATCGCTCTCAAATGTCACACTTTTTTTTTCTAGTTATTTTTTTTTTTATAATACCAAAATTCAATCTGTATAATTACTGAAGGAGAAGACTGTATAGGCAGTGTCACACTGAACTTCTTCAGACTCCTAAATATTTTGGAATGGTGATTAATAAACAAAATAATATGCTTTTCAGACATTTATCCCATTAGGAAAAAAAAAAGACAGCACGTTCATTGTGATTTTTAACAGGGCTAGTAGCTTCCACCTGTTGTCATGGCTGTATTGTGTTATATTTGCAGTACTAAACAACCAGTAGAAAACCTAGAATTCTGATTTAATTATTTTAAATAAGATTTAAAAAGAAAAAGAAAAAAAAATGAGGAATGAAACATGATAATTTTTATACTTCTGTTTATTCTGAGACATATTAATACAGTTATAATTGGCAGTTTTTACAGTTACTGATGTAAATACTTAGACTGAAGTAACAGAATTAATCTAAGAATCATTGCCATGTATTTTATAGGAAATGATACAATCTATTGGACAGACATGGGTTTCAACAAAATTAGCAGATCTAAACGAGATCAAACATGGAAAGAAGACATTGTTACAAATGGTTTGGGAAGAGTTGAAGGCATTGCAGTGGACTGGATAGCAGGTAGGTCTTAACCTGCTTCAGGAGTTCTCATGATTTCTGACAGTATGCTCTTCGGCTCAAGATTAAATAACTTGGTTTGCTTTCAGCTCTAATTTCTAATATTCCAAATGTCTAGATATTTTTCTTTGAAGATACCACCACTGTTTTTTGCAGTTTTACTAAAGACAGAAAAATTATTTAAATATCTTGGACACTGTTTCTTAGATGGACAGTCTCAGTGGTGACAACCACAAATATAAGTTTATACTGTAAAACAGAAGGCTGAATAGGACTAGAAATTACATATATAAGATACATATAAGTTAAAATACAGCAGTTTGTGGTCCTAACTTACGCACTTAAGATTTAAACCCTTTTCAAGTAGTCTTTTCTTTTTCCAGTAATTTCAATGTATTTTTTCTAGGTAACATATATTGGACGGATCATGGCTTCAACTTAATTGAAGTTGCCAGGCTCAACGGCTCATTCCGATATGTAATTATATCCCAGGGTTTGGACCAGCCAAGATCTATTGCGGTACACCCAGAAAAAGGGTAACATGACCATGGCTACTTGCATTTCTCTTAAAGTTTGCATGCTAGCACTGAAGCTCTTAGATGAGTAAAGTGAGGCCTTTGTTCTAATAGATAAGCATTTAATAAAACCAAAAAGGATTGTATTGGAAACTATTGTACTGTAACTAAACACAGGTGGAAGGAACTGTTATTCTTATCATATGCTGAATTTTTTCATTGGTCTCTGATATGTGACATACTCATACTGTGCTTTCTTTGTAAAACAGTTTTAATTTTCTAAGACAATAATTTCTACTGAAGTTTAGACGTTTCATGGAAGCATTCTTAAGCCTGTTTTTAAGTTTCCAGCAAATCCAAGGAAGTCACATTAGCTAACGAAGACCTCGATGTCATGATGAAGTCGTAGAACAGTGTAATCCTTGGTAGTTATAAATTCTAGTATCATGTAACATCCCAATGCAACAGCCAAGGAGATTGCCCAGGGTCTCTGAAAGTAATGAGATGAAGCATGTGGAGAAGGGAGTAAAGGTTGTCAAAAATGACATCTGTTTTCATCCAGTTGTTTGTTGAGAAGAGGGACTACACTGCAGCATTAACAGAAATAGAGAACATTCTGTCCCCTCCCAGCTCCAAAACTATTCTTAGCAGAGCTGCAGCTCAAACAGAAGCAGTAAACTCTGCAAAGAATTCCCATCTTTTTTGCATGGGAATATGAAATATACTTTCTGAGGAAAAGTCATGTAAAGCAAGAGTCTGTGGACTTAACTGCTACACTTACCCTGCTAAAATAGAAGTGCTAAATGTGTCTATCAAAATCTTAAAGAAGTATTTGAGCAACTACCTGCCTTCAAAGCCAGAGATGACATTGTATCTCATTTTGCCCAGATTCAATCCAATCAGTATCTCACTGTTTTCAGGAAAGCAGTATCTGTACTCCGAGGAGTTTGCAGCCATAGTAATGAAGAATTTCGACTTCTCACTGAGGCCAGATTGATACCAGTGATAAAAAAAGCTGTTTGCATCTTTGCTGTGATTTCTTCCATGAGAATTTAGTCCTAGTGATCTGTGTATTTTGCAGACTACAGCATTACAACTTAATGTATTTAAGAACGAAGGTGAAAGCAATAACTGGTTTTATTTTCTGCATAATGTAAGAGCTTTTACCACAAATTATATGTGTCCCTATAGCAGCATTGGTTGCTTGGCAGTATCTGCTAACAGTTTAGGATCAATGCAGTTCTTCACAGTAAGATCTTCTCCAGAACCTAGTCAAGATCTGGCTGAATTAATTATTATGTTTACGTTTTTAATGTACCAGAATAGCTGCGCTCTTCTGCTAAAAAATAAACTAAAAAACTTTTGAAGGTAAGTACACAGAAGCCTGATGAAACTTTTCTGACCATAAGGGTAGACCAAACTTCTTCAAAACAATAGTTAATTTACAGTGTAATTTTCCTCAACATGCATATAATGTATTTGCTGTATGTATACAGATGGGTTTTCACCCTTTACTTAGATCAAAGGAAAGGAAAAGCCCCATGAAGTCTATGAGGACTAAGTGCAGCGGATGCACTTTCTCTGGAGAATACTCAGATACTAAAATAATACAATTTATTTAAATAAAAAACATTATTTTCAACTAGAAATGATAAAAAGTGTAATCAACTCTTCTGCAGTATTTGGAGAGCGAAGATGGATTGTAGCCGAGATCCAACATTTAACAATTGCTACAGGGAAGAGTAAATTCAGAACTCTTGAAAGAATAATATTTAATACTGCTATTGATAGAAAAGTGGCTTTTTTACTGAAGTGGGGATTTTTTTTTATTTTAATGACAATATTTTTATATGATGCTTTCTGAGTCAACAGTTCATGGTTTTATTTTACCGAAATAAGTGTGCACATAAGCAGATGAAATAATAGCCAATAATATTAATAAGATTCTTTGGAAAGAAACTTCCTGCTTTTAAGTTAATGGATGTTTAGACATGCCACTGAACCGTCTTCGTAGGTCTTAAAATAAATAGTGTAATGCCACCAAAAAGCAGATATTAATAAAATGTGGGTAAAATGTAATTTGGAGGAGTTAAAATTATTGTGCTTGAAACAAAATACAGTAAAGAGAAATGTTAGATATAGAAATTAATTCAGTTGTTAAACATTCCTTAGATGTTTTGATCTTGTTGAGTTTTATAGTTGGTTTTTGGATGTATTTAGAATACTCAAGAAAACAAAACATAGGATGAGAGGAGGATGAGAGGACCACAGATTAGTAATTGTTTTACATGTCTGATAGAACTGTATCTTCTGTGAAGGCAGATAATCTTCATCTCTTCTTCTAAGACTGTGCAACGAAATGATACCTTGAGATGTCTCCAATGAAAGTTTCTTCAGGAGAAGGACAGCAATGTTTTGCTAGTGAATTGCAGGTTATACATTGCTGTTGGAAAATTAAGGCCTTTTTACCTTCTGCATTATTCTCGTATCTCTCTACAAGGCAAAACTTTCCAAGGTTTTCTTCCTTCCCCTTGCCCTGACTTCACATTCTTCATTTCTTTTGAAGCTTGTGTTGACATCTATAAGAATGGAGAGGAAAATAGCAGTTATTTAGATCTCATTGAATCTGCCAGTTATGCCAAGATACAAATCAGCCAGCATTCAGCTGGTTGGTAACATTTATTTTTACTAAGGAAAAAGTTAAGAATGTGTAGTCCTGCAAAGGAGTGTCTTTGTCCCTCATCAGGTATACGTATAGCATACACTTGGATGACTTTTTTTCCCCCCCAATTAAATAATAGTTTTCTGATCAAGCTCAAAATTGTGATTGAAATACAGAGTTAAGCTCATGCTGAAATAATTATTAGACTTTGAAGATATGTCCTTCAAAAGCATTTTGGGAGTTTCATTTTGTGTTTAGGGTTTGAGGTGCGGGGAGGGGAGTTTAAATGCTGATTTAATTTTTTTCCACAGAAGTTTTTCTGAAAGTTGATTCTACGCCAGCATCAACTTTCCGCCACTTGCATCTCCATGTCAGCTATGTACATTATATATGGGATAGTTCCAAAATAAGTTGAGACATAGGTGTTCTAGCACTGCAGTATGTACACCAAATGTGTCGGTGGCATATTGCTATCTACAGAGGTCCAGGAAACAAGTATTTTAGATGGTTCTTCCCTGACCTTTTGGCATGACATGGGAAGATAAAGTTTTTCTATACTGGTTAATAGTTTTTGTAAGCTCATATATCAATATATTTTTAATCATTAATGGTCTAAGTAAGTATGAAATAACTTGCCTTGTGTTTTTAGCAACTATTCAGGATTTTCTTTGGAGGATTTTAGATTCATTTAACCTGATAATTATGTTTTTGGTTGTTTTTTTTTTTTTTTTTTTCTTTCAGAGTAACTAGTCTAAGGAAAGAGCATGGACTGTTTTATTCAAGTATATTGAATGCCTGCCTCTCTGTAGTTGGTTTAGTTGATGTCCTGTGTTAAGAAAGTACCCCTGGCTAGGTCCTGAAAGCAAGTTTGGTTCTGTTTACAGGTGCTGTTGTTAATCTGGTTAAAGTTGTTTTAAACTTAAGCAGTGATTGTGGATATCCAGCTGGTTAATACTGTCTAGTTTAACACTTCTAAAATATATTTTTAATTTAGCTAATGTAGCAGTTCAATTTCCTAATGTAGTATAAGTTTTATAGTTAGTACTCATATTCCTGTTTGTTATGTAAAGAAGTATGAGAATAAATTTGTTTTTATTATAGCCAGACAGCCCTACAATTAGAGCCAAAGTAAGGTGGATGTTGTTTCAGAAGATAAATTTGATGAGCTAAGTACAGGAATCTATATCTGTTCTCCCTGTCCCATTTTTATCCCTCTTTATTCCACGTATCTGCAGTCATCCAATCAAATCTAGCTAATATTTAACAACACACTGGTGTAATGATATCACCTGACTCTGGGGTTGAACCGCTTAGTAATGCACAGAAGAATTTTGTAATCTTTGAAAACAAACTAGTACATACATTCCACACACAGAAAAACAATGGAAGATGGTTTTGTATGTTCTGTTCACTCTGTGTACAGCATGTTACTAAACAACGTTTTAGTGTGTGCTTATGAATATTTGCTATGAAGATGCTTCCCTTCAGGTGATTAGTAATCTGTTAGACTTCAATTATGTTCTCTTAGAAGGAGATTTCTTGCTTAGAATATAAATGTATGTGTTTATAATATATTTTAACACAAATATATATAATACATACATATATTTGTAGGCAGATAGACATTTATTTAAAGCTATTCCATAGGTTACTGTCTTGTAAAGGAAGTGCTCTATGTAGATTAATGGGCCTCACTTTGCTATACCTAAAGCATCAGATAGAGAATATAAAATTAGATAAGTAGAATGCAGATTTTTCCCATGAGCTTTAGGGAGAATAGGAAAAATCTTCTTCCCAAACAAAATCCCTTTGTTCCACCATTTACCAGTGTTCCTCATTGCTTCATATTTAAGATATTTCTAAGTTAGACATACATCTCTTCTATTATCACATTTGTTAATAATTAGATTTGAGAACTTCTGTTCTAGTATTTTTTTAATTTGCTTGTATTTTCCCAAGCACAAAGCTGAATTCTTTAACAACTAGAATTGCATGTTGACTGAACAATTACAGTTTTAAGAATTACTTCATATATATAATTTGCAAAAAAATCTCTCAACAGTGTTCTACAAAACAAGTATTATAATACATTTAATCTCTTAAGAATATTTAGACATGAGCCTTATGTTTTTTTTCAGTATCTATTTAACAGTTATGGTGATGCTTTTTTTTTTTTTGCAATTGAAGTACAATACTGCATATTTTCAACTCTTAGTTTGATGCTAAATTGTAACTGGTAATTTCTACACCATTTTAGGTATTTATTTTGGACAGAGTGGGGGCAGACTCCTTGCATAGGCAAGGCACACTTAGATGGGTCTGAGAAGGTTGTGCTTGTGAGCCTGGGGATTGCGTGGCCAAATGGGATTTCCCTGGACTATGAGGTTAGTTCCTCTGTCTTCCAGTATATATTAAAATGTACAGTATTTGTTATGTTTCATTAAAGCCAGCTGGTCTTCCACTTTGATGTAATCTTAACTCTTAATTGCATACTTGAACAAGACTGTTGATGTTTCCTTTAAAATTAATCTTTAGGAAAATAAATTATATTGGTGTGATGCTCGTACCGACAAGATAGAAAGAATTGACCTTGAGAGTGGAGGGAATCGGGAGATTGTGCTGTCAGGGAGCAATGTGGATATGTTTTCAGTCGCAGTGTTTGGAGCTTACATCTACTGGTCTGACAGGTAATTTATTTTTCATAAGTATTTGAGTCTCAAAATGTTATTTCAGTGCCAGGTGCTTCACCTTTGTAGGATTAGCCATTCCTTAGCAAGGTCACAGAATGGATCACAGAAACCTATGCGATTTCCAAAGAAAGGGCATTTCTGATGCTGAAAGCTAAAGCATATCAGAGTGATAGTTGAGAACAGGTTTCTTCATCTTCTGTTAGGTGAACTCTCCACTGCTCTTCAGTCATTTGTTTGGTGTGAATTAGTTGAGGATTGTTGATGAGACATCTTCAACTTTTTTGGCAGAGCACATGCAAATGGCTCTATTAGAAGAGGCCACAAGAATGAGGCCACGGATGCTGTGACCATGAGGACTGGCCTTGGAATAAACCTGAAGGAAGTGAAAGTCTTTAATAGAGCACGAGAGAAAGGTTGGCTGTTCTTAAGGATGCTATTAATTGTTTTAATGTCACCTGCTACTTTTTATGTATATTAAAGCATACAAAAAGTTAAGTAATCACTGATTTTTATCTCCACTTTTCACTCTCGAAATACTTTTTTTAATCTAAAATTAATCTACTAAAGAAAACATATAGTACAAATTTGACTAAAATTCTTCTGAGTATTTTAAGGATAAAATCTAAAGTCAAAACACTTCCTATCATTCCAGGTTTGGTGGGATTTTTGGTTTGGTTTTTGAGGTTTTTTTTAAGAAAAAAAACAGTCTAAGAAATGAGAGGGACCTTGAAGTGTCCTTTAAAGAGCAGTAATTTCAGGCAGTCTCAGATTCCTATTGGAAAGCAAACCTGATTTTTTTTTTTTTTCCACATCTAGACATTCCGAGCCTCTGTGTCTCAAATATTTATTTCCTGAAATTACTTAGTTTTGAGTCTTAGGGTTTTTGTGTGGGAAGAGACCTTGTAAATAATCACATTTCCTTTTTATTACATTTGTTTAGCAAATTCAAGCAACAGAAGTTACCATATACTCTCTGTGATTTATGGTATCAATGTTTAAATTTTATTCTCCACTACCTGACTAAGAATAATCCTGCTTTTAGCTGTCTTTTTGATCCTAAAATTGTGTTTTTGAAGAGACCTTGAAAAACTTGTTTTAGTGAGCAAAGGTTGTTAGAAGTCTACCAAAAACGATGATGATTTCCTCACAACAAACTGCTACCAGGCCATCCAGACAAAATTTTCTATGAAGATATTAAAAAAGAGAGGGAAAAAAAGTGTTACTGTAATAAAAGATAAACTTCTTAATACTAATATATATCTGGTGTTGGTAGCACTCAAAAGTTGCTTTAATCACAGCATTACATACCTGAAGATCCTATTTCTTATATATCTTTTCTAAATAACTGCATTAAATATGACATGTTAAATAAGTCTGCATTTTGAAAGAAAACTTAGTTAATAATCAATAAGAAAAACTGTCATTTCATTATTTTTAAGGGAATTTTAAATAGTTTTGAAAAAAAATACTTTGTAAGGATATGCATATTAATTTTACTAAGAATTTCTGCATGCAATTTCAGAATACTGTGGGAATCATATTTTGTGTATAAAAATAAAATCCACACAAAATTTTATCATTTCTTTTAACTAGGCTAGAAATAGTTAATGTCTGCTTGCTTGGAAGGGCTTTATATTATACAATTAGGAAAACAGAACAATGGGATAAAACAATGCTTCTTTATATGTAATCATTTTTATTGATAGCTTTAAAGACTTGATTGCATTAGGAATAGGAGAAATGGTTACTGAGGCTAAAAATCTTTGGATATTAGTTTGAAAAACATAACTGAATGATATTTTTTTTTTTAATACGTTTTTCAAATTTTACTAGGCTACAAATGGTTAATGTCTTTGGGAGGGGCTGTCAGTGAGCCAGGAAGACAAAAGGGAAAAAACAGGTGAAAAAAGTTTTTGGAATGTTTTTCTATATCACAATATTATATATATTTTTTTAAGTTCATTGAACTAGAAGTAGTTAACACTGTTTTAAAAAAAGGTAATTAGGTAGCTTCCTGACCTTCTATTGTTGAAACAAGTAACCAAACAAAAAACCCAAAGAAAAAAAACCAACAACCTGTGCTGATTGTGATTAATGCTTTTTTTTCAAACACCTGTTTTACCCTTTGATGAGCCAGTCCTGTAGTGCTATTTGCAAGCTACAGTATCATTTGACACGTGTGCAAGGACATGTCCTAACTACACTGGTTTTGGAATTGGCCATTTTCAAAAGATATTTACTGCTGATGAACTGTTGAAGCATTGAAATTTTCAAAGAGAGTTTTTAGAAGCTTCAGGATCTCTTTCATATATTTTCCCTTCTCTTCTCAACCTCTCATCCTTCCAAACAGATATTAACTTTTCTAGCCTAATAAAACTTTAAAAGAATCTTTAAAACAAACCAAATCTTAAAATGTATACAGCTAAATCTCCAGATGTTTTTACATGACTATGGAGGAGTATGTCTCGTGTAATTTTGCCTATGAGCACAAAATTCAACGTTTCTAATTTAAGAGCAAGTTAACTCTCATCCCCCATTATTTTTTTTCCTAAAAGTATCTTCAGCTTGAAATGCAGCAGTTAGAAAATGCAATCAACAGTACTTTCAGACACTACATATTCCCTGACAATTATTATTGTTTTCTAACTGAAAACATTCATTTAAAATGTTTTCTTTTCTTCACTACGTGGAAAACTTTCAGAAACGGAGAGAAGACTATATTGAAAGAGCTGAGTTGTTATATGGAAAGTGCTGTCAGAAACAGAAACTAAATTATCTAAACTAACTATAATAGTGATTCATATGTAGTCACTGAAGTTATTAATTTGACAATGATTTCTTAATAGTATGCATTTGTCAGGGAGTAAGCTTTTAAAGTCAGGTTTTAAAGGAAATTAGAACAAAATGTTAGGAAATGTCTTTATTAAAAACAAGGAACTGAACTGACACAGTTTTGTACCTGTCTATATATGTTTTCATTTTGATTGAAATTGTCTAAAAACAGTTCTGTATTCTGATGGTATCTAAATTTGACTTTTCGCCAGTAACAGGTGTTTAAAAAAAAGAAAAAAAAAAAATCTTTCAAAGCACTTGAAAGTCTTCAGCCAATTATGGAGGAATAACGCCTTTTATCATTTTCTTTTAATAAAATATATACTCTTTTGAATTGGAAAGGACATTCATTATATTTGCTCATTAATTGTATTCTTTAAAATTGTCTTTCAGTTATACTTAAAGTTACATTCTTTGCTATTTTGGCCTTTGTTTCACTTGTGAATATTGTAGAAAGAGTTTTAAGAGAAGAATTCTTAGAATACACAAAGTTAAATTTTGTTTTTAAGTTAGCTAAGTGTAATATTATAAAAGATAGATTTTAATTTTTTTTTAACAGGTACTAATGTTTGTGCCAGGAATAATGGTGGATGTCATCAACTTTGCCTTTATCGGGGAAATGCACGGAGAACATGTGCTTGTGCACATGGCTATCTTGCAGAAGATGGAGTTACTTGCCTGAGACATGAAGGTTACCTGTTGTACTCAGGAAGGACAATATTGAAAAGCATACATCTTTCAGATGAAACCAACTTAAATTCACCAGTAAGGCCATATGAAAATCCAGACTACTTCAAAAATGTGATAGCTCTTGCTTTTGACTACAGTCTGAAAGGAAGAGGTACAAATCGCATATTCTTCAGTGATGCACACTTTGGAAATATACAAGTTATTAAAGACAACTGGGCTGGCAGAAAAGTGCTGATTGAAAGTAAGTAAAAATATTATTTCTCAAAATATATACTCTATTTCAATAAAATTTGTAAGCAAAAAGTTGATAATCACTTGACTTTATTGGCTTTTTTACTCTGTAAAGTTTTACCATACTTAAGTATATAATTGTTGTAATTTAGCCTTATAAGATACATTTAAACATTATCTTTAGAATTCCAACTTCAAAATAATGTATTTTTTAAGAACCTTATGATGTGTGAAGCACATTACTAGAAAACAGACGCGATAATGACAGTGCTTAATTTGTATTACTGTGATTTTTAAGGAGCTTTTTTGTTGAAACAGGACTTCATTGTGCAATGCCTGGAAATGAAAAAAAAGTCTCCTTACCCCATGAACCTATTGGCTGTTTATTTTTCTAGCTGCGGGAGGGGGCTGAAGTACTGTAAGTTACCTCTGCTGACATAACCATCCCTCAGTATAAAATAATATAATAAAATATTATTATACCCTGGTCAGTGTGTCCAGTTGACTCACCCTTCTTGTAGTGAGACCAAAAAAAGTGACTTGTGCTCAGTGATAATTGGAGGCAAATTCCAACCTATGAAATTTTTAGTAGAGCCTTACTCAGTAACTCTGCATGTTTACTATACCTCCATTCACCACACTAGTAGGAGGATTTGTATGAAACTTGACATTTCCTTGGTCTGTGAATACTTGAAGCCTGACGCCACTATCACAGAATCAATGTCAAGATCATCACCAGAGTCTTCAGGATAAGAAACAAAACGTACCTTGCAGCTGAGGCTTCAGTGAAATCTGAGGATCTGGCACTGCAATCTTTATCAACAAAGTATAACAAAACTTTAATACAAGGTCTACATAAAAAGTTATGGCTTGTCATGGTAAGAAATTTAGCCTTAATGCTAAATATCCAAAAATCTGTCTACAAAAATCTAAATTGTAAGAACTTATGCTGTCTTTTATTTCTGTTCCAATTGTTCTAAAATACGCAGTAAACCTCATTCATCTGCAGTTAGTTATCAGATGCATATATTTACTCTGTTTTTTCTCTTCTTTGTCATTTTTTAGTACTGTCTGGCTTTTTTGGAGGCTGCAGTTCATTTTGGTAACGATTTTCCAAAATGTCTGAAGTGTTGTATAGTTTTTGATCTGTATAGTTTTTGATGTTGTGGATAATCCTCATGTGAATTTCTGATGTCGTATGTCTGTTGTAGTCCTACATTTATCTATTTGCTTGGGTCAAACAACTTCATAATGACTAGGAAAAATTGAAGTATATTTGATGTGGAACATATCGCCCTTTGCTGTTGGATGCTAATAGAAATATTTTTAGAAAAGAAATAAGTTAAACAGCTGCAAACTGACAAAATATTATTCTACAACTGACATTGGATAATTATATCATTATGTAACTCTGCACTGTGGTTTTGGGAAGGTATTCTTGGTCATGCAAACTGTTGACACTAAGGAATGGAAAAGGATTTCTCAAATATAATACAAGTTGTTTTTTTGTAACTTTGCATTTTTTTGGGTGCATATTTTAGAGGAATTAATGATATCTGTATTAAGACATGGTAAAGAGAAACTAAATGTTGTCAGGATGGTCTCATTACTCCCAAGAAAGGATTAAAACCTAGGGATTCAGAGTCGAGGTTAGCCATACAAGAGACACCAACAGCTCACAGAAATGTATGGTGGTGACATACAAGCACTATTTTAACTCTGGTGTTATAGGAAGAGATTAAAAGTATTACATGAAAAAACACATTAATTTTTTACATTTAAAACAGACAAAAAAGGGGAAGAAATACTGATGAAGCACCAATGCAGATAAAAATTGTTTTTTTTAAAGACCAATAAAGTATGTCTCATTACTTTATAATAGGTTGTTGTGCAAGAGCTGAAGACATCCCATAAAGAATAGGTCTCAAAGCTTACTTACTTTAAGAAGTTGTTAGGGGGTGTTTCTACTTGTAACCATAATATGGCCAATTTGATTTTTCATTAGCAGAGTCAGCACTCTGAATAATTGAATGTCAGATGGAATTTTCTATCCTTGCACAAAATTTACTGTATATGCTTGGGATGTATTTGTGAGCAATGGTGTTTGTTTTCTAGAAATGCTTCAGTTGTTTTTTCATTGTAAATGAGAAGGGGTGTCACATCCCAGTATCTGTTAGTTTATTGTTCTCCTTCATGTGTTTTAAACCTCTTTTCTTTATGTTGAGTTATTCATTTTAAACTGCTAGTTTTGTACTACACTTACTTCCTTTCCACATGATTTTCTCTCACTGTAAACAGGAAATAGTTCATGAAGTTGCTTGATACAGTGGAAGTATTTGACCAACGATGACACCTATAAAGGAAAAAGCAGTGCTAAGACTGGTTGACACCAGTGATTCCATTCACTGGAAGACATGAAATTCTAAAATTTTCTCATTTCCGTGTTAACTATGTGTGATTACACAGAAATTACTAAATGGAATCCAGCTGAGAAATTTTAGTAATAATGTTTCATTGCAGGATTAAAAAACAGCCATCCCTGACATACATTTGGCTTTTTCCTTCAAAATTATCAGTACGCATCTGTAGCAAGTTTTACTTTAGTGGGAAGAGATTCAAAACCACATTGGAAATATCTAGTGTGGTTCTAACAATTCTACAACGCCTTTCTACCTCCTTAAGTTGAAGTCTACAAATCATGCAAACCTTTACTCTGTATTTGTCTCAAACAGTGAAAATAGAGTACGTTATATACAAGACACTGTTGTCATAGATCTTCACTGAATGTTGATCTGCTCATAAAGAATCCATTAACTGATGGATTTCTATCTGGAAATCAGATATGCCACTCAAATCTAAAATATTATTGAACTTTTCAGCACACTAAAACCAGAGTTAAGATATATAAAGAGCCCTTTATTAAACAGGTTTCCAGTTCACTAAAAACAGATTTACAACTCACGAGCAACCCTTTATCCAATATGTTTTTAGCTCACTGAGAACAGATTTACTATCCAGAAACAACCCATTATCTAACATGTTTCCAGTTCACTGAAAACAGATTTACAACCCATACACAAGCTATTATCTAACATAGTTCCGACTCACTGAATATTGATTTAGAATTCATAAACAACCCATTATCTGACAAATTTTCACCTCACTGAACAGATTTGCAACTCATAAACAACCCATTAGCGAACACATTTTCAGCTCAAGGAAAGTAGATTTACAGCATATAAACAACTCTATCTAACTTGTTCCAGTTCACTAAAAACAGATTCAAAACTCACCAAGAACCCAGTACCTGATAGGGTTCTATCTTCAGCAGGAAGAAGCAATAACAACAAAACAGTGCGCACACTATGCCATACCCTAACATCTTTATTTTTTGTGCACCATGGGGTTTTGGAGTTCTTATCTCTGAACTCTGCTGACAAATGAGCATTATTTCCATTGGTCAGCCAGTAGGGACTTTTTCTTTCTTATTTTTGTAAGTAACTTTATGGGGTTAATCTTTCTTGATTGCCAGGTTTTAAAAATTTACCTTGTTCTTGGCTGTGATTTTCCACAAATATTCTTTTGGGTGGTGAATTATCTAACCATTCAGTATCGCTCATGATTTTACTGCCACAGAATCATGTGCAGTTTAATTCAGTCTGCAGACTTTTAAAAATCAACTTATCGATGCAGGAATACCTGTTTTAAATATGTTGTGACATGATTACCCTCTATATCGTGTGTTTGGATCTCAGTCTTTCCTTCCAAAAGGAGTGTAAAAAGTTATATTTTATTGTCGTCTTTTAATTACACACTGTGAGAGTATCGGACTATGACGGAATGAGTAGGTACTTACTATGTGTTCCCACCGACACACTAATTTCTTTTTAACTTTCCAATTTTAAGTTGTAAAGATCAGCCTTGCAGTTCACTTTACACAGGTTAGACTGCTTCTGCTTCTAACCTGTAACATGTTACTTATACAGAGGTTACATATATGGTATATATACAGGTACAGGTCCTGTTGTGTTGTAAGAGCTTTATGAACTTCTTAAGGCAAAATGTTTGAGAACCTTGATGACTTTCTATTTTTCATCGTCAATTGTAGTCCTTTGCAAAACAACATAGTCACAGGGATTATATTTGGAAAATCCATGCTATACACATATACAAAAGGAGTGTTATTTCATTTCACATAAGCTTTCTGTAGCTTTAGATTGTGAGAAACGGTGTCTCGACAAATCAAATCCTAACTCGGTATTCTACACAAGATCCAGAGTGATTACAGACACTTTGGAAGTTGGTTTTCATTTAATTTTAGCCCCCAATGGACTGTAGGCTTTGTAGAAAACGGAAAGAAGTCATTAAATGCAAAAGGAGGTAGAAAAGACAACAAATTTACAGGAAAGTGACACTGAGTTTAAATCAATATATTGGAGTGGCCATCTTTGAATGTTCTTTAAATTTCTGTTCAGCCCCCCCAGAACTAGGCATTCTAGCTGTTGCCAGTATCTCTGGGAGAATTTGTTACTGAAAAACTAGGTAAAAAATTAGGTAATGGAGCAGTATACAGAGAGAAAGAACAGGAATCAGTAACAGTTAAAAGCATAGAGTTTTGTAAGGAGGTACTTGGAAATCTGACTTGTTCAAAATTGCTACAGGTTATCAGTTTCATTTGGAACAATAGGGTTTATTCTCTCAAAGGGAGCCCGGGGAGAATTTTACTCTTATTTTCTTTGTCATTAATCACTTTTAGACAGAACAACACTATTTCAAACGTCTGAACCAGTTTCTGTAGTATTCACTACTTTAAATCTTTATAGAACTAAATAGACCTATCCTCCATCTGCAGGTAATTTTAAAGTAGATTGAACCGACTGAAAATGAAAATGTTTCAACAGAAGCAAGCATTTCTTTGGTATATGAGATTTTTAATATTATATGCTTATTCCCTCTCATACCACATCTCCCATTGACTGCTGTTTGTTTTGTCAATGATAAATGGCACTT